GGATCGCGGTTTCGGAGCCGCTGTTCTGCCTCTTTCTATTGGCCTCCTGGGGGGTCTCCTCGTCTCCACAGCCAGATTCCCCGCGGAGTTTTGTCAGAGCGCACACTGGGATCGGCGGCGAGCGAGGGGGGGAAGTCAGAACGGGCGGGCCTTCCGAGAAGGCTCAGAAGTCCCCCGGCCTTCTGAGGAGGTTCCTGGTCAGACTCTTGCGAAGACAACAAAACTTCTCAGAAGGCCAGAGGGCTTCTGACAAGCCCCGCGCCGCCTTCTGAGGAGGCCTTCTCCCTCTCACCTCCCCCCTCGCTCGCTGCCGAAGGACTCCGCTGGCGTGGCGTCCGTCACGGCGTACCCCGGGCGCCTCACGCGCGTGCGCAGCATCATGCAGCACGAGCGCGAGACCACGACCGTGGCGCGGCGCACGCTCGCGAGGCCCGAGGAGCCGGAGGTCGGCCCCGCGGGCCCGCCGCAGGACAGCGGTCGGGTCCGGTCCCCGCCAGGCCGTAGGCGCGCCGGCAGGCACCACAGGAACAAGTTCTCCGGCTTCGGCTTCGCGGACAGGGAGGCCGAGGATATGGGGCTTCCGAGGAGGAGGGTCTTGAGGATGACGGTGGGAGGTTGGTAGAGAGCCCCCCACCCTGCCAAGCCGAGCAGCCGGCAGCGAGCTGCCCTGTGTCGGACCTCGGGAGGCTGGTGCGCCCGCAATGTTTGCGGGCCTGCGCCCGCTGGGTCTGGCCCCTGGTCGATGTCACGAGGGGGTGTCTTGCAGAAGGGGTTGATGTCCACCCCAGACCTGGTGGGACAGCATGGCCCGGGCCATGACATCGCGCGCTTTCTTTTTCTCTTCTTAACACGCGCTCTTTGGCCCCCCACTTCGTCCGTGCACATGCCTCGGGCCACGATGCGTTGACCTCCCGCCTCTTGGCCCCCCTCTCCGGCGCACCCGAGAGGACGCGGCCGACCCTCTGCAGCAGTCGGCGTCGCTGGCGGTCTCCGAAGCGCCCAGGCCCAGGCTGATCCCGCGCACGCGAGGCCCCGACGACGTCTGCAAGACATACGGGCACATCTTCCGCTTGCTGAACAACCCGTACATGAAGCAGGTCGTGGGCGAAAATCATATCCGTATCCGTTGCCTCGCTGGCCGAGCCCCCTGGGCCGCGACCCCGCGGATACGGGGCATTCTTTCGCGGATGTCTTGCGCGGAACGTATTTGTGCGACCGCGTATCCACGGGGTCGCGCCCCAGAGTCCAGACCGCGAGGGCGCGGGTACGGGATGCTCACAGCCCGCGGACAGGCCCAGGGTTCGACGCAGTCCTCCGTGCGCTTGCGAGACCTCCACTCCGCGAGCCTCGACTCCTCCGCCGCCGACGTCTGGACCTCAGGAGAACAAAAATCGGCACAAGCACAAATAACTTTGGATTTTGCCGAAAATGTGAAAACCTGCGAGAAATAAAGGGGAAGAAGAAAACCCGTGAGATATGGATAAGTATATGGGAAGTCTTGGAGTATGTGCCGATTTGTTTGTGGCCCCTGTCGGCGATTACCAAAAGTGTGGTTACGCCGGGGTGTGGCTCGCGATCGGTATCGTTGGGGCTTTGAGGGCACCACGTTGCCTTCGTCCAGCTTCCTCGGGGCGCGGCGGAGAGCTCTGTCGAGGCCCCCCGGGTCGCGGGTTGCGAACCACACCCTCTGCAAACCACACCCGTCGGAGTCGCCGACCCTGGGCCCTTCCAGGACCGAGGGCGCTGGCCGAGATGATATGGCCACCAGCACCGGCTCGGCCTTCCGCGGCTCCAGGGCCACGCAGAGCGCCCCGGGCCTCCACGCGGGCGCGAGGGCCGTGAACCTGCCGCGGCTTGCGGGGACCGCCAGGGCGCCGCTGAGGAGCCGCCAGGCTCTAGGCCTCCCAAATGGGGTCCCAGCAGATCGGGTCGAAGGATCGCTCCGCATCGCCGATGCATCGGCGATGCGGCTCAACGTGGATCACGGCTCGAATGTGCGCCAGGGCAACCGCGCGTGAAACCTCCTGCCCCATGTGCTCGACGCTCCTCGGCAGCGTTTACGCGTGCCTGCTTGAGGACGGAGCCAGCTGAAGGTCTGAGGTGGCCCAGCACAGGTTCCAACCAGCAGGAAGGGGGGGGCGAGGTCCGAGGTTTCGGGTTTCGGGTTGGTTTCTTGTCTTTTTCTGGCCTCTGGGGGCCGTCCTTGCGTCCCGGGACCATCAGAAACATATCGGGGGTGAGAAGTTGCATCAGATGGGCCCCATGAGGGGTCTGGGGACCGATCCTGAACTGAATTGGCCTCGTCCCCCCCCCCTCTTGATCGATTTCCTGGCGCCCGCTGGCCGCGAGGGTGCTCCGAGGGAGAACGGTTCTGGGCCTCCCAGATGGTATGTGAGTAACTAGCTTGGGCCGAGTGATCGCTCCCCGCATCGCGGATGCATCGGTGATACGGCTCGGTGTGGATCACGTCTTGCTTCACGTCTACGTCGCCGACGCATCATCGATGCGGCGCGATCTCCCGACCCCATGTACAGTCAACGCGCCTAGTAAGGACGCGCGCCCTCTTCTAGGGTGCCCGTTTGTCCTTGCCTCTGCGGCCCGTCCTTTGCCGGTTTCACTGGTCGCCCGGCCTCCGAGGGTCTTGCGCCCTTGCCACCCGTCCTTCATGCACGTTTTGACTGTACTCGGACCCCCTTCGGGAGGCCTCTTCAGGCGCAGCCGATGGAGTTCGGCTACCCGACCTCGGGCATCGACGCCCAGGCAGCGCGCGAGCAGCTCCACGCCTGAGCCTTGGCGAGGCGCCGCGGACAGGTCGGCCTGGGCCTCCCGAGCTGCCGATACGCCGCTGCCGCGGTGGTTTCACGCTAACGCCCCTGGCGGCGCCGTCTACGCACCCATAGGTGAACGTGTCCTTATTCGGCGTTTCGACATTAGGCGGAAGGGGGGGGGGAGGGGGGGGGGTCCTGGCTCTGGACCTCTGCTCAGCGCGACGTTCGCAACAGTGCGTCCTATGGGGGAGACTCCACCTGCTTGAGACAGGCGCCAAGAACAGCCAAGAACTACTCCATGGGGGGGAGGGGGTGCGAGGGCCCGCGCCGATCGGCAAAACAATGAATACGAAAACGATCTCTAGATCCACCGTGTCTTGTGCCATGCTGTTTGGGGCGGCCCGAATTTCTTGCGCCGTGGCTGCTTGCGCTGGCATTGCCCAGCCGCGCGCGTTCTCAGCCCCCCCTCCCGGCTCTGTTCCGCTCACCTCTTGAGCAGCGTTCATGGGGGTCGCCCGTGGGGGAGTCACCACTTTTTTTTAGAAGTCGAGGACCGAGAAGGTTGGCGACATTTCTGGACGTTTTCGGAGTCTTGTTGGGGGGTCCAGAGGGGGACCCGTTTCATCGAGGAGATGACGATCCTTCAGCGGTGACGGCTTGGCAATACTTGGGCTTTGATCTGCTCATCTCATCGGCGCCGTCCGAAAAAATCCAGGTCCCAAAACCCCCAAACAGTGATATGGGGCGCACTGTACGAGGTGCGATCTATGGGGTGCAACATTGTGCACCGTATGTGGTGCAAGGGATGTGATGCAACCTACACGGTCTACTCCATGAGGCGCAACCTCTGTGCTTCCAGGGCGCGCAATTCATGCGGTGCGATAGTTGTGGTGCTATCTGTATAAATGTGTAGATTCCTCTCGCTTCGCGGGGTGCACGTCCGGTGCACGTCCGGAGCACGTACAGTCACGTCGTCGCGGAGCCTCTTGGGAGCCTCTTGGGGGCCTCCTGGAGGCCTCCTGGGAGTTTCCTTGGGCCTCTTGGGGACTTCTTTGGGGCCTCTCCCCCCTCCCTCCTTTTCACACTCCCTCCCCATGTTTCCTTCCAGCGCCGGCTCTAATCATGGGCGCCGCTGTGACCAACTTCCACCTGGCTGGCGATGCGCCGCAGTTCGCCCAGGTTGGAAAAATGGCATTACACTCCAGTCGCTGTGTGGCCTCTGGGGGGCTTCTTTTTGACCCTTTGGGAGGCTTCTTGAGGACATCTTGCAGGCCTCTTGGGGGTTTTTGGGGGCCCCTTGGGGGCCTCTTGGGGGCCTCTTGGGGCCTCTTGGGGGCGTCTTTGGCCGTATTGGGGCGGTTTTGCGTTGTTCCGCCCCTTCGGAGGCCGTCTTGGGGGCCTCTCGCGGCCGCCTTGGGGCCATCTTGGGGTCGTGTTGGGCCGTCATAGGGGCCTCTTGGACCGTCTTGGGGGACTCTTTGGGCCGTCCTGGGGTTATGTTGGGCCGTATTGGGGCCCTCTTGGGGGTTTCTTGGGTTGTTTTGGAGCGATTTGGGAAGCTGCTTGGGCCGCAAAGGCGAGAACGCTAGCAGATTACCAAACCAAATGGAAATTTATGATTTTGGCTTCTGGAGGCGCAGTTGTGGGCGCTTTGGGGGCCCTCTTGGGCCGTCATTTGGGTTTTTTGGGCCCTCTTGGGGCCGTCTTGGACCGTCTCGGGGCCGTCTTGGCCCGCACAGAGCCCATTTTGAGCCGTCTTGTCGCCCTTTTGGCCCTCCAAGACGCCCAAGAAGTCGAAATCACTGATTTTCTATAGGTTTTGGTAGGTTTCTGAGCCCCGGGAGGGGGGGGGGGGGGGGGGCATTTTGGTCCGCCTGTGGCGCAGCTCCCAGGGGGGGTAGGGGGGGAGACATAATAATGCAACACAATGCAGTATGTGGCAAGTATGCAATCATTGGATATATTGGACACGTGATAATGTAACACAACACAGTAACCTTCAGAGGTCTTTTGTTTTGCTCCCCCCCTGTTTTATTCGGCGGTGAATAAACTGGGCGCCCCCCCCTGCCTCCCCCCGTCCTCCTCCTCCTCCTCCTCCTCCTCCTCCTCCCCCTCCTCTTCCCCTCCTCAGAGGCAGCGAGCAGGGAGAGCAGTGAGCAGGGTAAGTGAGCAGTGGTATCAGTAGCAGTGGCAGCGAGCAGGGAGTGAGCGTAGCCCCCCCCCCCTGTTTTACTCCGCGGTGAATAAACTGGGCGCCCCCCCCTCCGCCCTCCCCCCTCCTCCCTCCTCCTCCTCCTCCCTCCTCCTCCTCCTCCTCCTCCTCCTCCTCCTCCTCTCCTCCCTCCTCCTCCCCTCCTCCTCCTCCTCCTCCTCCTCCTCCTCCTCTCCTCCTCCTCCTCCTCCTCCCTCCTCCTCCTCCTCCCCCCCCCCTCTTCCCCTCCTCAGAGGCAGTGAGCAGGGAGTGAGCAGTAGCATGGTAGTGAGCAGTAGTAGCAGGAGCGTGGTAGTGAGCAGTAGTAGCAGTGGCGCGAGCAGTGAGCACGGTAGTGAGCAGTAACTAGCAGTAGCAGTGGCAGCGAGCAGGGAGTGAGCGTGAGTAGCGAGCAGTAGTAGCAATAGCAGGGAGTGAGCAGTGGCCGTAGCAGTAGCCGTAGCAGCGAGCAGCGAGCAGGGAGCGAGCACGGAGTGAGCAGTAGCCGTAGCAGTAGCCGTAGCAGTAGCAGTAGCCGTAGCAGTGAGTAGCAGTAGCAGCAGCAGCAGCAGTAGCAGTAGCCGTAGCAGTAGCCGTAGCATTTGCAGTAGCCGCAGCAGTAGCAGTAGCAGGAGCAGTAGCCGTAGAAGGGTTAGGAGCAGCGAGCAGGGAGTGAGCAGGGAGTGAGCGGCAGCAGCAGTGAGCAGCGCCAGTCTTGCCAGTGAGCAGGGAGCGAGCAATGGCATGGCAAGCTGTAGTCTGAGCGTGAGTATGACGGAGTCTGAGTATGAGTAAGTCTGAGTTTGAGTATGAGTAAGTCTGAGCATGAGTAAGTCTGAGTTTGACGGAGTCGGGGGCCCCTTTTCTGGCGTGGCAGGCGAGAGCTCGATTTTGAAAAGGGCCCGCCCTCCTGTGCACCCCCGCGAGGTCTCTGAGGGGCTTCTCCTGGTTGCTCAGTTGAGGCCCCACCTTCGTGTACGACACAGTCTGGCTGAGCGTTCGGAGCCTCTTCTGGGAAGGTGTGAGACGCGTTCTGCTCTGGTCTGAACAGGACA